GTCGGAACTGACTCCACGGCACACAACAACAACAAGAGATGGTATCCAGAGACTGGGGAAAGGGGTTCTATTTTGTATCTCATTCGGCATCTGTATGGTGTTGCTCTCTTGTTACATAAGCATTTTGTTTCTTATGCCCTAGTTGTAGGTTCCTATCACTGTCTTTCTTGAAGGGTTAAGACTCAATTATTTGAGCACCTGAGGCAAGGTGTTGGGAAGACCCAAGGTAACTACCGATGCAGTAATTCTGTAGTGTCTACTGCCTGGAACCAGGTACAGTAATGAGTCCTCTCAGCTTATAGCCCATTGATAGTCGTGTCCCAGCCAATCTCATTCTTAGTTGGCACTCTTCTTGATATTTTAAAAATATTTCAGATGAATCTAATGGAGCTGTAATTTCTGGTAAGACTGTTTTTATTAGTTTCCTGAAGCCCTAACATTGAGGTTTTCATTCTGTGTGTTCCATAAATTCTTATTTTCTTGTGGAGAAACTGAAGAAACACTGCTGCACCTAATTCTGACAAGAGGTATTTTGCTAGGGTATGTGAGAATTCATAATGTTAATTAATGTATACTTGTGAAGCTCTTTATAGTTGGCAAAGTATATTCACACACATGATTTCAATCGATCTACACAACAACACTCTGAGGTTAGAGGGTAGAAATTATTACTCTGACTTTACTCCTGAGGAAGCTAAAACACCTGAAAGATTAATTCATTCAATATTATACAGCTTATAAATGGTAGTACTGATAATAGAACCAAGAAGATTTGGAGAAAAAAAAAAAGAAGATTTGACTCTGAGTCCACATAATCTACATTGTGATCATGAAAATGTGTTTGACTATGACTTTATATAAAAGTCCCTTTCTATTCTAAGATTACAATCATAAAAAAAAAGTATGAAGAAATTCCACAGAACTACAACAATAACAAAACAAGTAGGTAAAAATGAACATCTTTTGAATATATCAACAAAATTAGTTTAAAATGCGAACGAATTAAAAATAAAATAAGCAGAATCATCAATTATGTGGATGCAATTTCTTTTGATCTTTCATTTAAAACTGAATGAATAAAATTACAATAAACCTGAAATTGACAAGTTACTATCACAAACAATAAAACAAAACTAGTTCTATTTTATATTCCACAGCCACTCCTTTTTTTCCCACTTATAGCCACGTTCTTATAAACTAAGAATTAATACACAAGCATAACAAGTGTATGATATATTAAATATGAAAATTCATTCACTGTGCAATAATTAATTGTTACAAAGTTAAGAAATTACTTAGCTTAGAAAGATGTGCAGCCACTTGTATAGAATTGAAAAAAAAAAGGATTCAGAATTCCCCAAGCATTTAATCTAAATGAAATTTTTAATGTACTATGATTTTAATCAAATAACTTTATCAAAAAGGAATTTAAAAAAATTCTAAAAACCTATCTCTTTTCCTTTGTTGGCGAATACCAATATGAGTATAAGACTTTTAGATCATCAAATTTTTACACCCTAAAATTGGTCAACTACACCCATATAATCTGGAATCTAAAGCAGAAACATAGTTAGGCAAACAAGTAAAACCAGAGAAATATAATCTCCCTCTATAATGTTATTTACCAAATTAATTCTATACTGGAATAGTAAGTAGTTTATACCATTGATAGTGGGCTTAAGTAAGAATGAGTGAAACATGAGCTATCCTTTTTCTTGTGAAAAGTAGTACTTCTTTTATCAAATTTATTTTATTGGCAGAGTCCATTGTAACGTTTAATGCAGCAAATAGCCAAGTTATGTCATAACTCAGAAGCCACTTTGAGGCTTCCCTTTTCTTCCTTTTATAGCCCCAGGTAAAAAGCAAACACAAGATTCTGGAATTCTGCTGTGAAGAGAATTACTAGGCAAAATAGTAATTGTCAACTCTTGACTGCATATTAGAATCACTGTTAATCTTTTTTAAAAAATGACATTTCACAGGAATACCCCTAGAGTCTCTGCTTTAATTGGCCTAGGGCGCAGCCTGGACATCAGAATATTAAAAATCTTCCCAGATGAATCTAATGTGCATCCAAGGTTGAGAATACAAATACAAAGCTTCCTAAAAAAAAAAAAAAAAAAAGAAGCCAAGAATGCAGGAGCTCTCCTCTGGCTCTTCTTTGTGGAACCTATCTTATGTCCATTATTTAAAAGTAATTTTTTAATGCTTAAGTGCACTATTTTACCAAATGAAAAACAATGAGCCAAAGGTTTGTCTATGGACACTCTCTGCAAGCAGCAAGAATGTGCTTCTTTAGGCGTATTGAGGTAAGAGCACCTTTCTTCCCCTCCCCCTCTGCCAAGTTCTTATTTACCCACACTTGTTTGATACTGTAAGCACACGATGCTATACTTTGAATGTGGTAACCTTTTGGTACCCATCAAGTGACCACATATGCACAACTAGTTTGTAGGAAATGGATATACACAACAACAACATTATTAACGGCAAACGTGTCTCTCATGTATAAGAGTGTGCACCTCCTACCATCATATCCTTTGGGGGATATATCCCTGGTTTGCACCTTGGGAGCTATGGCTCGCTTGCCATAAGTATGGTTGTCATAACTGTTGTATTCAAACGAAGTCTTGGAATATTTCTCAAGTTCCTTGGCCAAGTTGGAACGAGGAGTGGTTGTGGGGACATTGTTTCTGTAGCCATACTGAGGGATCTCTAGTTGCTTTACAAAGCACATTGGCCTGTAAGTAAAAGAAAACAACAGTTTACTTTAGTGTGACCCTGTAGAAAATATGATTTTAGTTAAAAGTAGTACATTTTTCATTGCATTAAAGAATAAGAAACTTTCACAAATATTATATTTTTATTTCTCTGAGAAATGACCCAAGTGTGTTTTAATTCTATAACACCAAATACATTACCTGTCTAAAAGTCATTTTAACAATCAAAAGAACAAAGAACAAAGCTGAAATGTTAAAAGTTTTCTTTCTTTTTAAGAGATCTACTGTAGAGTCACTGTGAATCGGAACCAACATGACGGCACTTAACAGCAACAACACTACATATGATGGGATACTGGTGTGGTGCTGTAGGATAGCATAAGCACTGCATTGCTAACCACAAGGTCATTGGTTCAAATCCACCAGCTGCTCCTTAGAAACCCCGTATAGGGTTGCTATGAGTTGGAACTCCACCACTATTTATCCACAGGAGAAAGATGAGGCTCTGAGATTTACAGTTTCAAAAATCCTATATAGGGTCTCTATGAATTGAAACCAACTCCAAGGTATACATCTAACAACTATGCATGATGCAAGTCCTGGTTTCACACTGTAGGAGAGGCACTGAGCTGTCACCCACAAGGTTGGAGGTTCAAACCTACCAGCACCTCCTTGGAAACACTACACAGGGTGCTGTGAGTGGAACTGATTTCCTAGTCCTCAACACCAATAACTATGTATGAAAAAGATGTGAATTATAAAGATAAAAAAATGACAGCATATTCGTGCATTTTCTTTTACAATAGCTACAAACAGTAGTAGGGGTTATACATAAATAAAATGAACTATAGTAAGACATTTCCCTCATAAAAATAAGAGGAAATGAAAGAAGTAATCTTAGGAACATATACTGAGACAAAAGTAGATAAAACTTTATCTAGCTGTACAATAAAATGAAATATGCAGTAAACTATTTTGACAAATATAAGCCTAAACTTTCAACAATTTTACATAGTAGCCATTTATTTTTTGAACAAAATATTTAAATGGAGGAACACTTTATTATTCATTCAATAAAGTTCTATTTTGTTATTGTTCCTGTGTTTCTGTCTATATCTATCTATCCCTCCTAAATAGAATCCAAAGTTTCTATCTGAAAGAATTTTAGACTTAGAAACAGTTACAAAAGTATGCTTTCTACTCAACTTCCCTTTTGTTTACACCTTACATAATCATTATTCAAGTATCAAAACTAGGAGCTTTTCAATTGTATAATATTATCAACTGAACTCTAGATTTTACTTGGATTTCACCAGTCTTTTCCAGTGACGAAGATCACATACCACAGCCTTCATTATGGGTTGTACCTCAATGTAAAAAAAACCCCAAAACTCCCCACAATTGGATCAATAAATAACAACATGATAAATGGAGGAAAGATTGAAGTTGTCAAAGACTTCATTTTGCTTGGATCCATAATCAATACTCATGGAAGCAGGAGTCAAGAAATCAAATGACATGTAGCATTAGGCAAATCTGCTGCAAGTGGAATGCAAAAGATTGAAGACAAAGAGTAAGGAGCAGTCATTGGAAGATATGGCTTTGGTGATAGAAATGATGTTAGAGATTGCATGATAGAATTTTGCAAATCCAGTGACTTATTCATTGTAAAAACAGTTAGCACAAAACATAAATGATGACTATACACACACATGGACCACACCAGATGTAATACACAGGAATCAAACTGACTACATGTTATATGTGTGGGATAACACAGTAGAATAGCTCTATCCATATCATTAATCAGATGAAGGCCAGAGGCAGACCATTAATTACTCATATGCAAGGTCACACTGAAGAAAATTAAAACAAGTCCATGGGAGCCAAAATATGACTCTGAATTTATCTCACCTGAATTTAGAGATCATCCCAAGAACAGATTCGCTGCATTAGACACTAATTACCGAAAACCAGAAAAGTTGAGGGATGACACCAAGAACATCATACAGGAGGGAAGCAAAAAGTCATTAAGAAGACAAGAAAAGAAGGAAAAGACCAAAATGGATGTGAGAAGAGACTCTGAAGTTTGCTCTCCAGCATAAAGATGTTAATGCCAATGGAAGAAATGAAGAGTAAAACAACTGAACAGAAAATTTCAAAGGGCAGCTTGAGAAGACAAAGTCAAGTACTATAATGAAATGTGCAAAGACCTGAAGTTAGAAATCCAAAATGGAAGAACAAGTTACGCATTTCTCAGTCTGAAAGTACTGAAGAAAGAATTCAAGCCTTGACTTGAAATACTGAAGGATTCTATGGGCAAAATCTGGACAGCGCACTACAAGGTCAGTGGTTCAAACCTACCAGCTGCTCCTGAGAAACCCTATACTAGATTGTTATGAGTCAAAATCAACACAGTGACACTAACAAGAACAACAACAACAACAATATGGGCAAAATATTGACTGATGCAGAAAGCATCAAAAGAAGACGGAAGGAAAACACAGAGTTATTGTACCAAAAAGAAATGGTCAATGTTCAACCATTTCAAGAGCTAGCATATGATCAAGAGCCAATGATACTGAAGAAAGAAGTCCAGGTGTAGTGAAGAAAAATAACAAAATTCTAGGAATGTTTGGAATATACATTGAAATATTTCAACAAACTGATGCAGCACTGGAGGCATTCACTCATCTATGCCAAAAAAATATTCAAGCTAGTGACCTGGCCAACTAATTGGAAGAGATCCATATCTGTGCCTATTCCAAAGACAGGTGACCCAAATGAATGTGGGGATCATTCGACAATATTATTAATATCACATGCAAGTAAAATTTTGAACAAATAATTTAAAAATGGCTGCAACAGTACGTTGACAGAGAACTGCTAGAGGTTCAAGCTGGATTCAGATGAGAACATGGAACAAGGGATCTCATTGCTGATGTCAGATGCATCTTGGCTGAAAGCAGAGAGTATGAGAAAGATGGTTACTTGTGTCTTACTGACCATACAAAAGGTTTCTATTGTGTGGAACATGACCAGCTATGGACAACATTGTAGTGAATGAGTACTCCTGAACACTTACTCTTGCTCATGAGGAACCTATACATAGTCCAAGAGGCAGTCATTCGAACAGAACAAAGCTTTAAAATCAGGAAAGGTATGTGCCAGGGTTGTATTCTTTCACCATACTTATTCAGTCTCTCTGCTGAGCAAATAATTCAAGAAGCTGGATTATATGAAGAAAAATGTGGCATCAGGATTGGTGGAAGACTCATTAATAACTTGTGATATGCATGATACAACCTTGCCTGCTGTAAATGAAGATGACTTAAAAGACTTACTGATGAAGATCAAATACTACAGGCTTTGGTATGGTTGCACCTTAATGTACAGCAAACAAAAATCCTCACCAATAAATAACATCATTTTGCTTGGATCCACTATCAACACTCATGGAAGCAGCAGTCAAGAAATCAAACGATATATTGCATTACACAAATCTGCTGTGCATGTCCTCTTTAAAGTATTGAAAAGCAAAGATGTCAGTTTAAGGACAAAGGTGTGCCTGGTTCAAACCATGGGATTTTCAGTAGCCTCATGTGCATAGGAAAGTTGGACAATGAATAAGGCAGACCATAGGAGAAATGATGCATTTTAGTTATGGTGTGGTGGTTATGTGCCGTGGAGTCAGTTCTGACTCATAACGACTCTGTACAGGGTTTCTGAGGCTGTAAATCTTCATGGGAGCAGAAAGCCCCATCTTTATCCTGAGGAACAGCTGGTAGTTTCGAACTGCTGACCTTGCAGTTCGCAGCACGATTTGTAACCACTATGCTACCAGATTTAGGGTATAGGAGAAGAATATTCAAATTACCAAGGACTGCCAGAACACCAAACAAACCTGTGTTGGAAGAAGTAAAGGCAGAATGCTCCTTCGATGCCTGGATGGCGAGACTTTGTCTTTTATACTCCAGACATGTTATGAGGAGGGACCAGTCCCAGGATAAGGGCATCATGCTTGGTAAAGTGGAGGGTCAGCAAAAAAGTGGAAGACCCTCAAGGAGATGGATTGGCACAGTGGTAGCAGTAATGGGCTTAAGTATAACATCAACTGTGAGGATGGCGCAGAACTGGGCAGTGTTTCATTGTGTTGTGCATAGGAACTGACTCCCCAGCACTTATCAACAACAACTTCCACTGATTTCTTTATTTTATTCCATTAATTTCATCAAGGATCCCACATTGTTGAGGGCAATTCATGTCTCCTTCATTCCTCCAACTGTTGATTGCTCACTATCTTTTATGGCCTTGATACTTTTGTAGAGTAATGGTCAGTTAATTTGTAGAATAGATACAGAGATACACATTCAAACACAGAGTTCCATAGTTTCATAAGCTTTTGTACATTTTTCAATGTAACATAATTTAAAAAATACTTATACAAAGGGGCTTTGTATTTTCACATAAGCATAATTTTTTTTGCACATTCTGAACACAATTCTGAATTTCAAGGACAGAAAGTTTTCTGATGATTCATTATTTATCTTTATAAATTATGAAAACTATGCAAAAATAATAGTCCAGGCAAGCCTAATAATATTCTTATAGGAAAAACAAAAGGAAGTGCATTCATGCATGAGTGTTAGATATACGGACAATCTGTAAAGGATAATTTTTTGAGTAAGATCTTCTTTCTTGAGTACTAGTATCATAACAGCAAATATCACCTGTACCTAAAACCGAAGTGTGAAATCTTAGCAGATATATAAAATTAAAATACTGGCAGATTTGAAGTTCTACTGTGAAAGTAGAAAAGTTTCTTTGACAATAGAAGTGTGAACAAGATCCTGATTTGTTCTCCCTGGGCAACTAAGAGATTTTAGTCTTTTCCTTTCCTGACTTATTCCAATTAGTATTATTTGAGTATCTGAATAGATATGTTTTCTCTTATAGCCTCTTTCTTTCTAAAAAAAAATGCATATATGTTAACACAGAGGATCTATACTTGCTTTAGGAATAAAGATTTACAATATTGCTCTGCTTTTATTATTATGAAAGTGCTCCATAATTCATTGAAAAACGATCTGGAAGATACAAAGATAAACAAAGGGAAAACATCACTGCTAAAATTATTCTCAATAGTTGTATAATACTAAAATCAATGCCTCAATTATTTAATTATAATTTGCTCAGAGATAAAAAATGAGTAACTCTTTTAGGGAGGGTTAATTATATTAATTTCATGTTCACTCAAATTGTTCTAAGAATCTTACACCTTTCCACATCTTACACTTGGTTTTTACATGGTGTTTAATGTTCTGTTCTGCAGTTTACGTGTTAAAAAACACACACACAAAAACAACCCCCATGCAGTTGATTTGCAGTCATTATATCAATCCATCTCAATGAGGGTCTTCATCTTTTTTGCTGACCCTCTACTTTATCAAGAATAATGTCCTTCTACAGGGACTGGGCCCTCCTGATAACATGTTGCAAGCACTTCAGACAAAGTCTCGCCATCCATGTTTCTAAGGAGCATTAATGTCTTTACTTCTCTCTAGACAGATTTAGTCATTCTTCTGAAATTCTATGGTATGTTCAATAATTGTTGCCAACACTATAATTCAAATGTATCAATTCTGTTCAAGTCTTCGTTATTCACTGTCCAGTTTTTGCATGCGTATGAGGCAATTGAAGAAAATATCTCAGCTTGGATCAGACAGCATTTAGTCCTCAAAGTGACATACTAGATTTTTGACACTAAAGAGGGCTTTTGATATGTAGCTCAATGACATCTCTTTGCTACCTTTTTAATGACATAGTAATGATTATGGATTTCCACAATGTCTGCAACAATGGGCTCAAATATAACAATTATGAAGCTGGTGAAGGATGAGTCAACATTTACTTTTGTTGACTCTTAGTTTGCTATGATTCTGAACCCACTTGACAGCACCAAACAGCAGTAAAGGTTAATATCCAATTTATTTACCAAATCACCAACTCAATTATTTTATTAATTTAGTCTGTTTTGTCTTATCAAATCAATAAAATGCAGAAGGATAATTGGATGTCTATTATTTTGAAGGCATTTTCATGGGCAATGTGGGAGGATGACATACAAAATCCTAAGGCTACATGGAATGTGACAATATTTCAACAAAGTGCTATGGGAGTCAACCTAATTTTAATGGAGAAGTCAGCTTTTGAATTAGGCTTTGCAGAATGGGTACATTTGTAAGGTTAAGATTTAGGTTGGAGCAAGAAAACAATCTAAGAAAAGAAATTATAAAGACCAAACATGCGGAAGCAGAGAACCTCAGCATTTCTGGGGAATAACAAATGATATAGTAGTTAGGGACCAGATGGTTAGTAAATTCATTTATCTAGTCCCTTGAAAAGGACATCATGCTTGATAAAGTAGAGGGTCAGTGAGAAAGAGGAAGACCCTCAGTGACATGGATTGATGACTGCACCAATGAGCTCAAACATAATATTGATTGTAAAGATGGCTCAGGACTAGGCTATGTTTCAATTGGTTGTATATAGTTTCATTATGAGTTGGAATTGACTCCATGGCACCTAACAACAATAGTACAGAAAACCAAAAGAGTTAGCACCTGGGAGAAGTATAATCTCTAAGCCTTAATTAAAAAAAAAAAAAAAAATTAGGACCAGGAAGAGGAAGAGTCAAAGGAGACTGCTGACAAAGGAAATAATTAGAAGATAGTACTTGTGTCACTGTAGGATAAACGCTGGACTGGGTGGCAGGGTCAGCAGTTCAAACCCACCAGCTCCTCCTCAGAAACCCTATCAATGGCACTTAACAACAATGACTTCCAGTGATAAAATAGAGGCTGTATAAGGGGCTTGTGACCTAAAGTTAGACAAGACTGAAAGTGTTTAACTTTAACTCTTGGATTCCTATTGAAAACTTTATTTAAAAACTTCAAAAAAAAAAAATCTAAACCAGTTTACTGGTTATAGGTTTCATTTTCCTTTATTTTTTTCTTCCTCTCTTTCTTCCTTCCAGCATCTTTCTTTACCCTGTTGAATGAGCAGCACTGTTCTCTAGACACTATGGGGAATATAAAGATGACTGAAACAAAGTTGTCTTCAATGCATTCACAAAATCAGTGCTTGAGATGAGAGTCTGTTGCAGTTGAGGGCCACTTAAGAGCCCTAGAGGCAAGACCAATCCACCATCCCAGAAAAGCAGCTCTACCTTAGAAAGCCAAAATCTGCTATAGGGTTGGTTGTCAACATTGCCTGTATGGCTCCTGGGCAACTTCCTAAATCTTTGGAGTACGGTGCTTTCTTTTTGTTAAAGTTCAGGTCCCAAGGTTAATTCAAACCCATCAGGAGACACTTAAAGAGAATATTTTGTAGATGCCACGGCAGCCTGCTTTGTTGGCAGCTTTTCATTGCATTAATTGGAAGAAAGAGGCCCAAAGTTATAAAAACACAGAAATAATAAAAAAAAGTTATTGCTTTAGGCTTCCATATCAAAATACATTATTTCCATTTGAACAAGGTGATATTGGCAATTAAATGCATTTATTGTCCGTTTCACTCTGCCAATGGGGTGTCTCATTTAAATGGATACTAAACATTGGCCAGTAAAATCAAAACCACACTTAAATATACAGCGCAGCTCACTCCTGGCAACGTTTCAAAGAAAAGTGCCGAACAAGGGCTTCTTTTTAACCTTTGGGCAATCTGGCCAGAGCAGACAAAAGAAAATTAAGGAGATATTTTCATTCAAAATTCTAAATATTTCTTTGGCTAGTAACCATCTTTTCTCAAAATATGTACTCCTGAGAGTTTTGAAGAGGGCCTAGTAGGGACAGTTTCTTGTGCTAGCCCTGCCAAACACAAGTGGATGGGGTGTGGAGGGTAGGCAAGTGGCATTTATTTGTTATACAGTCTTACTCTTTGTAAAATGAGTGAGTTATACAGTGATGGCTATACTGGTTGTTGTTAAGTGCCGCCTAGTTGGTTCTGACTCATAATGACCCTGTATAGGGTTTCTGAGGACTGGCTGATGGGTTTGAACCACCAAACATGAAGTAAAAAGTCAGAATATAAAATAATCATCACAATTTTCAAGTGGGCAGGGATTAAAGGTTACCTCCTAGTCCAATGATCACCCTTTCATGAGCTTAAAAAAGCAATAGGTTCTTTGCCATTTTAACATTCAGTGATTAACTGATTTTAGGTTAAGTCAGTTAACCTCTCTGCACTTCGGATGTTCTTGCTTGTCAAATGGGGATAATAACACCTACTCTCCCGCCTACCACGCAGGGGTGTCTGAGGATAAAAGGAGATGACAGCTTTGAAGGCTTTTAATTTTTTTCACATAAGAGTATAAGGTGGTATTACCATCACTATTATATTTTCAAAAACATTAGCAGCATCCTGTAGGTTGACATCTTGCTCTCCCTTTCAAATTAGGATAAAATTACTTTGGGCAGCTCATTAATTTTTAAAGCTATTCTTTCTTTCTAGCTTTATAGAATCATAAAATATCAGGCCAAAAAAGAAAACCAGAAATAGTTTTGTCTAATTCTCTCATTTTAAAAAATTTAATGAATAAAAGGAGACTCAGAGAGGACTCCTGGTGTGGGGCTGTAGGATCAGCATGGACTGAGATCCACAAAGTCAGCAGTTCAAATCCACTAGCTGCTCCTTGGAAACTCTACACAGGGCTGCTATGAGTAGCAACTAACTCGATGGCACTTAACACAAAGAAGAGAGGTAATGTAACTTCCTCTCCCTTGTTGTTGTTACTAGGCGACATCAAGTTGATTCCAACTCATGGTGATTCCATGTATACAGATTAGAACTGCTCATAAGGTTATCAAGGCTGTTGTGACCTTTCAGAAACAGATTGACAGATCTGTGTTCTGAAGTGCATCTGGGAAGGTTTGAATGCCAACCTAGTAGTTGGGAGCTTAATCATTTGTGCTATCCAGAGCCTTTTCTCTCTCTTACACCCTTATTTACTGAGCTAGATAAAGAACCCAGGTCTCATGACTTCCAGTCTAGTTTGCACCCTTTATTTTTGTCATTAAGTAAGAGAAAGCTATCTTTATCTAGTATCTTAAACAAAACACTTTGAAGAGTCTTTTGGATTGAGTTTAGATGAACTCATATAAAAATGATACAGTCCATGTTTAGGAAATACCTTAAGACTCGATCTGATGCCTGATTGGATTTTGACACATCACAGCTCTGGTGTTTTTCTTGGGCCTTTGCCAGTTTCTCTGCTGCAGCAATAGGGCATCCAGAGAGGCTGCAATTACAAAAAGGGACTTTAATTGTCTTGTCTCAGTTTCACAATACACTGATCCAATTACAACCTTCCACCTTCTCTCCCTTAGTCAGCACATGAAGACTCCAAAGGGTGAAAGGAAGTTTCTCCAACCTGCAATGGGCATTCCTTATAAAAGGAGTTTGGAGACGGAGATTGTTTTACATTTGTTTTGCAAAGAGGTAATAAGTGTGTCTGGTTTGCAGGTTTCCTTTTGATTTCCAAGAGACAATGCTGATGTCAGTCACATGTGTAAAGCATACTGTAGTCTTTCAAATTGTAACCAGCTAAACTCTCGGTGTCATTCAAGATAACATGAGCCAGTTAAATTACTAGAAGCACGGTTCATTCTGTAATAGTTACCATTTCTGGAGATAGCTTGTGTCAGATGAGTTTTTAACACTCAAGAATGGCAATTAATTGATTGGGACCAGAAGATGGAGCTCTAAGCTGATTCTTTAAAAATTATTTAATGATAGGACTTTTGCTTGTCTGTGTCTTTTTGTTCTCCACAGAAAGAGAAATGAATGGGAAAGCAATCAGTATAAACTCTAGGAATGCAATAAAATATTTTTAAATGAAATATTTTGTACTTGGTTTATTCATAAAAGACTAAAGATTGACACTTTTGTGTATGAGCTCATTGTTCATGAAATCATGTCTGCTATATATAGCCATACAGATACTCCAGGTATGTGTAATATGTCAAAAACATATAGTTGTATTAAGGTTTGATGAAGAAAGTGACATTGCAAATGCTACATTGACCAGCACTTAGCATGAACCTAATAAGTCAAACTTTTAATCATTTCTTCCTTCTGAAGACTAAGCACAGGAAAACCTCTGAAGGGGACAGAATTGTGATATGTTTTATTATAAACTTAACACAAGTAACCAAACAGACAAGCAAAATGTCAAGCAATGTATAACTGTGTTTCCACTATTCAGGTGTGATTTGATAAGTTTTGGAAGTTGACACTATAAACCACATGGTGCTTCAAAACAATCACTTTTAAGTTACTGAGCCAATAAAAAGTCTCTGATGGAATATTGTTAGCCACTTAGTAACTTTTACAAAAGTCTGACTAAGAGAGAAAAAATGAACTGGAATTTGTTAAGCACCTAAGTGTGATTCTGTGTCTGCTTGTTTGCAGTAGTAGTACAATAAAAATCTTATTTACCTGGCATGCTACCATCCCCAAAGCACCACTTTGGAATATCTGTTATTAAAAATATCCCTACTTATGACCTGGAGCCACAGCACAGGTACAAGGTGCAGGCAGATTCAGTCATAAACCATCACATTTGACTGCATTCTAATTCATAGTTCTGTATAATACATGACAATATAAACTCTTCTTTACCCACAGAGGATGACTGAGACCTTACTGCATTGTGTCTAGTTACTATAACTGGTCATGATTTTCATTTTAGATATTATACCAAGGAAAACACCTTGTATGGGACTGTTAACTCCACATGACAGGTACTTGAGACAACTAAAAAAAAAAAAAACCAATCTGTAAAAAAGGAATCTAAGTATTTTGTCTTTTCCATGTAATACGTGACAGCATTACTCAATTTTTTAAAAAATGATACACTGAGGACCATCTGTCTCCTTCAGTAAGAAAGAGATGTGCACATGAAAGAACACTCCCTCAGAAGGGTTTGCCAGGAATACCACTGTTAGGAAATGATTTCCCTCCAGCGTAGAATCCAGTAATGCTTTGCTTACCTTCTGTGAGAGTTCCTGTTGCTATTTACATGCCCTCGCCCTGTGCAGCCTGGAGTAGGACACTTGAGAACATTTTCATGCATGGCAAGAACTTGACAAGGAGAGGCAGAGAAAACAGCCCAGTATTAAAACACAGAAATGGTCAGAGTACAAGAATATGCAATCATTTTAACAAAGGCTGGGTTAGTTTACAACAGAGAGTCCTACAGACACTTGTGATAGGCATGGTCAGGAAAATACATGTATGGAAAAAAAGAGATTATTTTGACCTTACTCTAATTGGCATGCAAAGCAGGATGTGCTAGAAGAGGGGAGTTATGGAGGTTAGAGAATGTAATCATTAAATTGTTTCACATGGGATAGTGAAGCAGGGGGGTCCTGATATATTTTCCATACATAAGCACTGAATATTGATTAGCCGTGTAACTGCATGTAAATTGGTAGTTTTAAAAAAACAAACATGCTGTATTTTGTGGACACACAATATTATGAAAGTGTGGTGGTCATGGGTGACTAGAAGCCCCAAACCATATTTTTAAGTAAAATCAATTTAAATAATGATTTTTCATTTAGGAATCAAGTACTTTATTATTTTTTAAATAGAATGAGCAAGAACAGTAGGTGCTATGCATTTTACCAGGTGAAATTAACACAGGAAAGATAGCCTGCAATGTTCTCTTATGCTACAAGGATATGCTGACCTGTTGTCAAACAATACTGATTTAAATTTACCCACTACTGGAGATAGACTTTTGCTTATTGGCTTACTCCCTTTCTTCTGGTACTTCATGAACATTCCATTACTCTGAATTATGAGAAAAGGCTACCATAGGTTATTGGCACATGTGGAAATCAAGGGGATTGACCCATAAAATTGTCCCCTTCAGCAAGTTGCATTACTCATTTCAGTTGTCAATAAATTCCAGGATAATGAAGGAGCAGCACCACCTGTTGGAGCTCTCCCTGTCAGTAATGTTTACCTAATGTTAGATGAACATGGAAGATGTGTCAAAATCAGTTCTGTGCCCCCAAATAATTATATAATTGTCAAAAATTAAAAAAACAACAACAAAACACCACCACCTTTTCTTCCTTCTGAAAAATAATCTCTCTCATGCCTTTGAAATATGCAGGTCTGATTTCAGTACTGACTGCATCCTAGTCCCACACAATGTTGTTTTTATTTGACTCCATGATTTTCCTCCTTACTGTGATTTGGAATTGACTCAATGACATGCAATAAAAACAACAAAAAAGATCTGTGTGAGTTCTTTAAACTCAAAGTCCATTTTTTATTTATCCTTATAGCTCTTGCCTAATTCTTACTTAGTAGATGTGCATTAAGAGTGATCAAAATAATGAAGAGTCAGTGTATGATTCCCTTTGGGACATGACTGGTGGGACTCTAGGCAGTCTATTCTTTGCTGGAGACAGCCTAGTTATGTGCATATCTCCTCTCCTGCTGCAGATGAGGAGTGTCTCTCCTCTCCTCTCTTGCAAACGGAATTCTTCAATCTGTATTCTGATCTGTTCTCTCTCATGTCCTCCAGGACCTTGATTTACGATATTTTCAATTTTCTGCTCTTTACTGTTTTACTGTCATCTTGCTATGTTGTTGTTGAGTGCTGTTGAGTCCGCTGCGACTCACAGCGACTCTCTGTACAACATCTTATTATAAAATCACATTTAGACTTTCCTACACACAGTTTCTCTCTTCAGTTAAAATTCATCTTTCTCTTTCCTGTCATGCTAAGTTTTTCAAATATAAAGTTGTCCCTGGAGATAGCAAACACCTTCCATTTTTGCTAATGGTATAGATCTCAAATTGATCACATCTGACTCCCTGCTAACTAGAGACAGAATCCATCTCACTATCAGCTAGTATTCATACGTGAGATGACATCTACTTGCTATCTTTTTTGTCTACACTGTTTATTTCTATTTCTTCCATACCACACCTATTTCTCAATCTTCTGTACTATGATTGAGTTGACTGTCTTTTTTGTTGAGATATTGAAGCTTCCTATATATTTTTAAAATTAGACCTTTGTCAGATAGGTCATTGCCAAAGATTTTTCTTAGTCTGTACGTTCTTCTTTTATTCTTTTAGTGAAGCCTTTTGATGAGCATGAGTATTTAATTTTTAAGAAGTCACAGTTATCAAAATGATTGTCTATTATTCATGTATTATTTTGTCCAAAATCAGCTGCCCATTGTTGTTGTCAGGTGCCATCGACTCGGAACAGACTCATAGCGACCCCATGCACAGCAGAACGAAACAATGTCCGATCCTGGGCCAATCTCACTACCGCTGCCACACTTGAGTCCATCAATGATGCCACCTGGCCGATCCATCTCGTCGGGGGTCTTCTCTTTTTCTCTGACCCTCCATCTTACCCAGCATGACATCCTTCTCCAGTGACTGTTCCCTCCTGACAATATGTCCAAAGTATGAGAGACGAAGTTTAGTCATCTTGGCCTCCAAGGAGCACTCTGGCTGCACCTCTTTCAAAACCAATCACTGGTTCTTTTGGTAGTCCATGGCACTTTTAGTATTCTCCTCCAACACCACAATTCAAAGACATTAATTCTTCTACGATCTTCCTTATTCACTTCTTCCAAAATGGATCTATTGGTTCTTTTGGCAGCCCATGGCACTTTGAATATTCTCCTCCAACACCATAATTCAAAGGCATCAATTCTTCTACGATCTTCCTTATTGACTGTCCAGCTTTCGCATCCATATGAGGTCATTGAAAATACCATGGCTTGGGTCAGGCGCACCTTAGTCCTCAAGGTGACATCTTTGCTCTTCAACACTTTAAAAAGTTCCTGTGCAGCAGATTTGCCTAATGCAATATGTCGTCTGATCTCTTGACTGCTGCTTCCGCGAATGTTGATAGTCGATCCAAGGAGAATGAAGTCCTTGACAACTTCAATCTTTTCTCCGTGGATAAGAATGTTGTTTATTGGTCCATTGGTGAGGATTTTTGTTTTTTTGACATTGAGATGCAATCCATACCGAAGGCTGTGTTCTTTGATCTTCATCAGTAAATGTTTCAAATCCTCTTCACTTTCAGCAAGCAAGGTTGTATCATCTGCATATCACAGGTTGTTAATGAGTCTTCCTCCAATCCTGATGCCACGTTTTCTTCATACAACCCAGCTTTTTGTATTATTTGCTCAGCATACAGGTTGAATAAGTATGGTGAAAGAACACAACCTTGTCGCACACCTTTCCTAATTTAAAAACATTCAGTGTTCCCATGCTGTGTTCGAACAACCTCTTCTTGGTCCAGGTACAGATTTCTCAGAAGTACAATTAAGTGTTCTGGAATACTCATACTTCACAATGTTGTCCATAGCTTGTCATGATCCACACAATCGAAAGCTTTTGCGTAGTCAATAAAGCATAGGTAAACATCTTTCTGATATTCTCTGCTTTCAGCCAAGATCCATCAGACATCAGCAATGATATCTCTTGTTCCACGGCCTCTTCTGAATCCAGCTTGAACCTCTGGAAGTTCTCTGTCAATGTATGATTGTAGCCGTTTCTGTATTACCTTTAGCAAAACTTTACTTGTTTCTGTATTATCTTTAGCAAAACTTTACAGCTGCCCATAGATAGATGGATTTGCTCCTGACTTCATAATCAGTTCCATTGGTCTATGTTTCTATCATTGAAAGAGTACCAGGGTGCTTTCACTATCTTGGCTGCATCGTAAGTTTTGAGAGTAGGAAGTGAGGTGCTTCCTGCTTTGTTTTTCTTCTTTAGTGTTGTTTTATTTATTTGGGACTCTCCTTTCCAAATAAAGTTGGAAATTAGTTCTTCCATTTCAATAAAGAATGTTGCTGGGATTTTGTGGTGCAGCAAGTTGCTTGGTATGGCGCTTCTTTATAATTTCCACCAATGACTAAATAAGACTATGCAAATGTGAGATGCTTGTGTCCACCCAGGGGACTGGTAGCTTGGAAATGAAGTAAATAATGGCCAGAGCACTGTGGGAATGGGTCCATGCAAATAGGGTGTATAGAACCCTCACTTGGGCACTGATTAGTTTTGCCAACCTGCTAGGATTAAAATGAACCTGTTCAGAGGTGGACAGAGGAAATCTCACTACCATCAACAAAGAAGATCCAGTAGTGGAGTGTGTCCTTTAGACTCAGGATTCCTGCACTGAATTTCTTTTAGTTACAAAATAGGGAACTGTGACACAGAAGATGGTACAAGATGGTAAGAAGCAGCAGCAAAGAGCCGTGGCAGTAGAGGCAGCAAAACCAAGAAAATGGCACAAGACACAGTGGTGGTCTTCCTGGTCCATGGACAAGAAAGCTGAATGCCTACAGCAGGAAACTTGCTGGCACAGTGTGGTTCCTTTGGGCACTTGGTGGAGCTAAGTTTGCCAGCTCATGCAGCTATGGTGAGTACCTTTGGGCTGGGGTTCACTGGTGGAATGGATGCCTCTTGGCATTTAATTGGCAAAGCTAAAAGAATGTTGTAACACTTTCTTGAGCAGGGCAGAAGCTAAGGGGCCATATGGCCAAGAAAGAGTGAGGACCAAAAAAAGGTGTGTCTGCAGGCACAGTAGAGAAGAGGCAGTTTTGGTTAAAGAACTATGTCCTGAGTTGTTTTTGATCTTGTTATTTTCCTACTAAACGCATAATTGTGAGTATCATCTGTGAATTCTTTGTGGCAATTTCAATGCATTCTTGAACCTAACAGAGAAGTACAAAGTGTCATGGGATGGACAGTTGGTATGAGTATTGGTTAAAAAAAAAAGTTGGAAGATGTGTGTATGTCCGACTTCTACCTCACAGGAATCAACCTTGGGCAGCTGATACAGATGATCTTCATTCTCTTCCTCCCTTCTTGTGAAGTTAGAAGAGGACAAACATGACCCCCACACCACTTTTACAGATTTGGATTGGGATTGCATTTTATCAATAGATCACTTTTGGTAGTATTGACATTTTTACAAAGTTAAGTCAATTCATGAATACAAAATATTTTCCATTTATGTAGATGGATCTCCTTCTGGGTCTTGTAGCAGGTTTTTTTTTTTTTTTTTAATAATTTCCCTTGTACATCCC